TGCCTGCTAGGTGCCAGGCAGCCCAGTGGACAGGTGCCGTGGTGGGTTTCTTTCAGAGGGGAGGGGACTCCCTCACGGCCCCCAGGAAGGGACATCTGGTGGCAGGTAGAGCTGGGTGGTAGGCAGACTGGTGGCCCATCTGTGGGACCAGCCCTGCCCATCTGGGGGGGCCGCCGCACTGTGGAGGGACATGGGGCGGGGCCAGAGCACTTCACCCCCTGCTCACTGGCTGCTGTGATGGAGACACATGAACAGTTCTAGGATGCCCTGGATTCTGGGGCATTCTTAATTTTTTCAGGTTTGTGGATTTCCTCGTGCTAGGTGGTGGCAGCCCCGAGTGTCTGGGACCTGTTTCCTGGCTGAGTCCACAGTGGGCATGGCTCACCTGGGTCAGCAGCTCCAGCCTTGCTCACCTCAGGCGGCTCAGGGCTTCCTAAAAGGAGAGCTGAGGTGGTGGGGTACAGAGAACTGACCTCGGCTCCCTCAATGCCCCTGTGGAAACGTAGGCATAGCCCTGGGTGGATCAGAGTGACCCAAACACACAGGCTTCCAGCACCTGTGTGCCAGGGCCAGCCTGTCTGAGCCTCGGCTTCCTCATATGAAGGACTGAAATGTCCCCTGCAAATGTGAGAAAGGGCTCAGCACTGACCCTGTGCATGGGTGTGCATGGGTGTACTTGTATTATATGTGTGTATGCATTGTCAACCTAAAATAATCAAGAGAATCACAATATAGTCTAAAGAGAGTTTATTCAAGCACAAGGTTGAGGACTGCAGCCAGGGAGACACTTCCAAGTTGCTTCAGGGAATGTCTGGAGAACAAAAGAGAGGCTCAAGTGTTTAAAGAAAGGATGAATCAGGAGAGGGGGTGGTGACCATTGTTCATCAGGAACTCTCATTGGTTCACAGAAATAACACTGGTTAGTGATTGGCCAGTCACTGTTGAACTACAGGGAATGTGGCATTTTAGGGTTACTTGGCATCTGTTAGTCTAGAGCCTGCATAGCAAGTGGTTTCAGGAGGGACCCATTTTGCTCGATGGGGAGTGACACGTGACTGTGTTGCATTCCGGCGCCTCTCGACGCCTGATTATATAAAGGGGCTGGCATTCCTCAGATAAAGGTCTTTTTATTTTTCAGCATACATGTGCACACATGTGTATGTATGTACACATGTGCGCTTGTATATGCATGTGTGCACCTTGCTTTGAAGGCCAGGCAGTGGCCACACCAGCCCAGGAGGGTTGCTGCTGGTAAAGCCTTTGGCCGCAGAGGGGCTCTGCCCAGCTACACTTCCCAAAGTGGCTCCTCCCTCTCCTGCCCCTCTATCCAGCTTTGTTTGTCTGTTCTCATTACCTCTTTTATTTTAAAACAACACATACTCTGTAAAAAGTCCCTGCAACTGGGCCGGGTACAGTGGTTCATGCCTGCAATCCCAGCACTTTGGGAGGCCGAGTCGGGTGGATCACGAGGTCAGGAGATCGAGACTATCCTGGCTAACACAGTGAAACCCTGTCTCTACTAAAAATACAAAAAAAAAAAAAAAAAAAAATTAGCCAGGCATGGTGGCAGGTGCCTGTAGTCCCAGCTACTCGGGAGGTTGAGGCAGGAGAATGGCATGAACCCGGGAGGCGGAGCTTGCAGTGAGCCGAGATCGCACCACTGCACTCCAGCCTGAGCGACAGAACAAGACTCTGTCTCAAAAAAAAAAAAAAAAGTCCCTGCAACAGAATAGAAGGAAGTGAAGTGACAATTAGGGGCTCCTCAACCCAGGTTGCCCCCACCAAGGGCACCCTAAAAGTCTCACTTTTTAATTTGATTTCCTTTGTAAAGACCCTGTCTCCAAACATGTCTTCATTTTGAGTTACTGGGGGCTAGGACTTCAGTGTGTGAATTGGGGGGACCGACAGGATCCATAACACAGGTGTTGGCAATGCAGAGTTGCAAACGCAAAGCTGGAGGTGAGTGTCCTTCATTTGTTTTGGTTCTTCTGCTCTTGGACAAAAGCCCTTCCAAGACGGGAGTGATTTAAGGGCCTCCGATAAGCACAGTGCACCTCTCTCCTCTGGACAGGATGTCTGGGGGCCGGGCTGCTTGAGCCTCCCAGGCTGCAACCACACACCTCCTCACCTCTCCTCAAGATCCATCCTCCCTTCTGTGGTAAGGAAAATGATGCTCAGGAATGTCTGAAATTCACCAAGTTGGTACAGTTCAAAGGCGATAAGGGTGGGATTTTTCTTTTCCTTTTTTTTCTTTTTTTTGAGACAGAGTCTGGCTCTGTCCCCCAGGCTGGAGTGCAGTGGCGAGATCTCTGTTCATTGCAACCTCCACCTCCCGGGTTCAAGTGATTCTCCTGCCTCAGCCTTTTCTAGTAGCTGGGATTACAGGAGCCCCCGACCATACCTGGCTAGGGTGACATTTTCTTGATCAGCCCTGTGAGGTATACTTGGCATACCATTGATGCATATGTTTAAAGTGTACAGTTGGATAAACTTTGACATGGGGTATGCTTGTGAAATTATCACCACAATCAAGGTAATGAGTATGTATGCAACATCCCTCAAAGCTCTTGTGCTCTTTTGTAAGCACCCTCCACCCCACCAGCCCCCTCACCCCCCAGTCACCTCCAGTCCCCTCCCCATTCACCCCCCTCCCCCACGCCAATCCCATAGCCCCTCCCCTTCCTTCCAGGCACCCAGTGATCTGCTTCCTAGCACCATAGGCTACTTTGCACTTCCTAGAATTCCGTAGTAATGAGAAAACACTGTAGGTCTTCTTTGGCTCCTTTTGTTCAGCATAATTATTTCTAGATTCATCTGCGTTCTACTCTCTTTTTAAAACTGGTCTGAAAGATCTGGCTGGACGTGGTGGCTCATGCCTGTAATCCCAGCACTTTGGGAGGCTGAGGTGGGAGGATCACTAGAGGTCAGGAGTTCGACACCAGCCTGGCCAACATGGTGAAAACCTATCTCTACTAAAAAAAAATACAAAAATTAGCCAAGCGTGGTGGTGGGTGCCTGTAATCCCAGCTACTCAGGAGGCTGAGGTGGGAGAATCACTTGAACCCAGCCCAGGAGGCGGAGGTTGCAGTGAACATAGATTGTGCCACTGAATTCTAGCCTGGGCGACAGAGTGAGACTCCATCTCAAAAAAAAAAAAAAAAAAAAAAAAATGGTCTGAAAGATCATTAGATGTAGGTTTAGAATTAGCATCATTATTTTCCTGAAATGTTTGTAGAATTCACCAGTGAAGATCTCTGCGCCTGAAGTTCTCTATGTGGGAAAAGTTTTAACTACAAGGATTTTTTGTGCTTACTTTATACTGAGCTTCTTAGATGTGTAGATTTATAGCTTCCATCAAATCTAGAAAACTTGTCATTATTTCCTCAAATATTTTTTCTGTCCACCCCTTTTTGAGACTCCAATTACACATGTATTACACTACTTGAAGTTTTCCCACATTTCGCTGTTGCTCAGTTTTCTCTGTGTGTGTGTGTTTCATTTTGGGTAGTTTCTGTTCTTGTCTCTTCAAATTCACTAGTTTTTCTTCTACAATGTTGAATTGGTTGTTAATTCCTTCCAGTGTGTTTTTGGTCTCACACTTTGTAGTTTTCATCTCTGGAAGTTTAATGTGGGCCTTCTTACATCCTCCATGTCTCTACTGGATTTTGGAACATAGTAGGACACAGACATGATAGCAGTTTTGAGTGTCCCTTTTTGCTGATTCTAACATCTGTGTTAGTTATGTGTTTATATTGAATTTTTTCTCTTCATTATGTATAGTCCCTTTTATGCCTGGTAATTTTTTTTTCTTTTTTTTCTTTGTTTTCTTTTTGAAACAGAGTCTTGCTCTGTCGCCCAGGCTAGAGTACAGTTGCACAATCTCAGCTCACCGCAACATCCGCCTCCTGGGTTCAAGCAATTCTCCTGCCTCAGCCTCCTGAGCAGCTGGGATTATAGGCACGCACTACCATGCCTGGCTGATTTTTGTATTTTTAGTAGAGATGGGGTTTCTCCATGTTGGCCAGGCTGGTCTCAAACTCCCGACCTCAAGTGATCCATCTGCCTTGGCCTCCCAAAGTTCTGGGATTACAGGTGTGAGCCACTGTGCCCGGTCTATGCCTGGTGATTTTTGATTAGATGCCAGACTATGGGAATTTTACCTTGCCGTGCACTACATATTTTTGTAGTTCTATATTTTTTAGCTTTGTTCAGGGATGCAGTTGTGTAAACATGGGGACTTCCTGTTAAGGTTTGTTAATATTTGCTAGGTGGGACCAGAGCAGTGATCACTGCAGGGCTAATTATCCATCGTTCCTGAAGCAAGACCCTCTGAGTATTCAATGCAATGCCCCGTGAACTGTGGGGTTTTTCGGGCTGGCTGGTGGGCACAGGCGTGTTCCTGCCCTGTGAAAGCTCCCTGTGGTCCTTGCAGGCAGTTCTTACTCTGGCCTCATGTGCTCTCCCCGCTATACACATGCCGAACGGTCCTTGAGGGGTCCCTCTGAGATCTCCAGGTTCTCTGTCTGTGTGCAGTTCTCTCCTCTTCGGGGCGCCATGCTGTGGACTCTGGCCACCTTAGTCTTCTGGGCCTCCCAGTTTTGTCTTTTCTTTTTCTTTTTTTTTTTTTTTTTTTTTTTGAGACGGAGTCTCGCTGTGTCTCCCAGGCTGGAGTGCAGTGGCGTGATCTCGGCTCACTGCAAGCTCTGCCTCCCGGGTTCACGCCATTCTCCTGCCTCAGCCTCCCGAGTAGCTGAGACTACAGGCGCCCGCCACCGCGCCCGGCTAGTTTTTTGTATTTTTAGTAGAGAAGGGGTTTCACCGTGTTAGCCAGGATAGTCTCGATCTCCTGACCTCGTGATCCACCCACCTCGGCCTCCCAAAGTGCTGGGATTACAGGCTTGAGCCACCGCGCCCGGCCAGTTTTGTCTTTTCAACTCAGAGAGTCCACTGGGCCCCATAGGGCTCCCCTTCCCTGATCCATGGTCCAGAAATGGTCTCTGGGCAGTGAGCTGGGACAATAGGAGGGCTCACCTCATTCATTCCCGTCTCTCAGGGACCACGGTGTTTTATTGCTTTGTGTAGAGCCTTGTAAACCTCTTTCGTAGGTTTTGTCCATGTTTGTTGTTGTTGTTCCAGGTGAGAGTAAATCTGGTTTCTATTACTCCATCCTGACCAGAACCCTAATTCCCCTGAGATGGGGTTGAACCAGGCTCTGTCTTGCCACACAGCTACCTTTGAACACACTGAGGCTGAGCGCAGCTCACATTCCATCCGGTGTATTTTTATTGCTGTGCCACGTTTGACCTCTGGAAACCTGAGTTTATCTCTTGTGCTATGAGAAGAATGCGGCAAAACATGTATTTTCTGTTCAGAAATCTTAATATTGCCCCCCATTGAATTCGTTAGGAATGCGGCAGTAGCCAATCATAAATGCCCACCTGAGTGATTCTGGAGTCATTTAAAGAAACATCCACTCAAAAGTGGTTTTGCCCCAAGAGAGCGAGCACTCAGGAGCCTGTGCGGGGTGGAGGTGCTCCACCGTGGAGCTGGTTGGCATCCACAGCCACTGGGACGCTGCCAGAGCCCAGGCCTGCGTCACACCCTGCCCAGAGGCACACCTGCCTGCTCAAGGCAGCCAGGGCTGGCTCACGGTGTGCTTGTCACTGTGTGAAGCCTGTTTCTTCACCGCCTCGTCTTTATTCTGCTTTGTAAGTGAGGCAGGAGCATGAAATGCTGCTGGCAGAGGAATATCTAAGTGTGAGTGTGAGTGCGTGTGTGTGAGTGAGTGTGAACCAGCCCATCGGTGTGAGTGTTTGAGGGAGCCTCTCTGTGTGTGCCTGGGGGAGGGTGTGAGGTGTGGGCTGGGGAGGGGCCTGGCGATGCCCACCGGCTCGCCTCACACTGGACAGTGCCTGCACCTTCAAGGTGACCCTTCCCCTGGGCCGCAGGATGCTACATGGCTAGGGACAAGCTCAGCCCTGACCCCAGAGTTTCCAGCCGAGCAAGACACTGCCCACCCCACAGTGAATGGCTGCTGGTGCAGGCCCCACCCTTTGGAGGTGTTGTGTGCCAGCCTGGGGGCTGAGGATATGGCTGTGCAGACTGCCATGCCCCAGTCCTGGGATCCACTCTGCTGGTCGGTGGCATAGAGCTTCCCTCCTCCACACCCCCCTAGAGCCGGGCCTCTGGCTGCTCCAAATGCCAGTTGGAGAAGGTGGTTTTCTTTCTCTTCTAATGTCTTTTCAGTACCTCCTAAATGGCTCTACTTTGAACCTGCTGGGCAAGGAAAAGATTTTCAAGGAAACCATCTACCGTGTGCGAGCCCCTGCCGGCCAATCCCAGACCCCAGCGCGGAGCCAGGCGCCTGTGCCTGCCAACCCTCAGCACCCTCCTCGGAGAGGCTGGTGGCATCAGGTATGGGGATAAGTGACCGCCGCTTGCAGCCCCTAGGCTCCTCGGCAGCTGCGTCTTGGGTTCAAGAGGATGATTTTGAGGGATGACAGTTTCCCTCTAGGCCCATCTCACCTTTGCTTCTCCTCAGAGGCGCCCGGTGAATTCTCTGTGCACTTAGAATTGACACTTGAATTTGGTCCATGAGAGGTGTGGTGGGCCAGTGGGAGGTGGCTCCAGTGCACAGGAGGGAGGAGGAGTTTTGGGGCAAAGACCTTGGTCCACATCCTCTGGTGAGACCCACCTCCTGCCCCAGCCCTCCCCTGAGGGAGATAGTGGACCCCTGGGGGCTGTTTTCTGACCTGTCCAGCAGGCAGTGGTGGGGAGGAGGAGAAGGAGGAGGACACTGGCCTCACATCCTGGGAGTATCAGAGGATTGAAAAGCACCACGGATGCGCTATAAACAGAAGCCACTGTGTTCCTGTTGGTTATGGTCACTACCTTGAGCATCTATTTGAATTTATTGAACAGCAGATAGCTTCACACCACAGGGTTACTTTTTTTTTATGCAGAAGAAACTTAATTTTAAAAGAAAATGTTTTCCACTTTCTGTTCTCTAAAAGCCTGTCTGTACAAGACCCAACTGAAGCTGACCAGGGTATTCACACTTCACACACAGCCCCCAGCCCACCTGCTCGAGGCTTTGGGTGGGGGGTAGAGGGTACTGCCTGGGGGCTGCATTTGGGGTTTGCACCTGAGGGGGCTGGTCCATGCCTGGCTAGCACTGACTCTGTCTTGTTTCTCCCCTACAGGAAACCCCTGGCCAGCCTCCACCTGAGCCCAGTGACCTCAGCTTTAAGGATGGAGTCAGGCAGGGGGTCCTCAACCCCTCCAGGACCCATTGCTGCCCTAGGGGTGCCAGATACTGGACCTGGCAGTTCCTCCCTGGGGAAGCTCCAAGCGCTCCCCGTTGGGCCCAGGGCCCACTGTGGGGATCCTGGCAGCCCAGCTGCAGCAGGGGACGGCTCTCTAGACACGGGCCCCACGGGAGACCAGAGTGGTAGCTTAAAGATCCCCAACCGGGACAGCGGGATCGACAGTCCATCCTCCAGTGTGGCTGGAGAGAACTTCCCCTGCGAGGAGGGCTTGGAGGCTGGCCCAAGCCCCACTGTGCTGGGGGCACACCCAGAGATGACCCTGGACAGCCAGGTCCCGAAGGTCACCCCCCAGGAGGAGGCCGACAGCGACGTGGGTGAGGAACCTGACCCTGAGAACACCCCCCAGAAGGCTGACGAGGACGCCAGCCTGGCCCAGGTAGGCTTCCCCTTCTCTGTCCCCGCTGCAGGCTGCAGGCCTTTCCTTGGGAGGGTTTTGAGATTTTTAGTGGGCGTCACCCCACACCTTGTTTCCAGGAATGTGTCACATAGGCTCGTGCCGTGTGCAAGGGGAGGTCCTGGGATGCAGTGTGCCCGAGAAAATCCTGTGGGAAGAATCCATGCAGGTCAGGCCAAGCCTACCTGACCTTGAGCAGTGACCTCAGTCCTGAGCCTCAGTTTCCACAACTGCGCAGTGGGCACCTCCCGACCCTGGGAAGGTATGATGGTCAGTCCTGCCGGTGGTGCTGCCAAAGCTGCCCTTTGCGCAGTGCTCACTGCCGACTTTATAAAACTCCTGGGAGGAGACAGTGTGAGTGGGGAAACTGTTTTCCTTAATGGGAAACTGAGGCACAGAGCGCATGGTAACTGGCCGGGGTCATCCATGGGGTGTGGCACAGGCTGGGTGCTCTGTGCTCTTCAGGACACGGTGGGGTAGGACCCGTGAGGCCCGCAGTGCAGTGTGGAGACCAGAGCAGACAGTTCCCACAACACGATGGGGCTGCATTGAGGGAGTTTGTTTGCGTTCTCATTAGCATTTATGGGGCTCTTGGCTCGGTGCTGGGGTCTTGGGGAGATGGAGAGGCGGCGGATGGCCTCAGGCTAAGAGAAACTGTGGGTATGGGGCACAGCATGGGTAAGCTGCCAAGTGACCAGGTCATGGGAGCGTTTTGCGGGTCAGGCTTGCTGGCGCCTGCATGGGGACGTTGGTGGCTGACACGGGTACCATCAGGAGGCAGGCTGGGCAGGTGAAGGGAAGCCCGGTGCCTGGACCACTGGGAGCCGGCTTCACGGAGACGAGGCCAGGGCTGTGTTCAATGGAGGCTTTATTATCACTCAGGTGTAGGAAGGATCAGGAGACCACTGCCATTGACAAGATGGTTTGTCATCCTCGGTTTCCAAGAGAAAGGGGCACATCACACCACACCGTGGGGCCACAGGGAAGCCCAGGGTCAGTCAGGAGGCAGAGGGTTCAAGGGGAAACTGTGGGCCTGAGACGGTAATATGGTTTCCGCAGGAAGGAACGGGCAAGGCAGGGTAAGTGGGCTGAGGATTGCTTGGTGTGAATGATTTCACTGGGTTCTGGGGCACAGGGGCTGTCCCTGGCTGTCTGGTACCCACCCTGGGGTGAGGAGGGCAGGGGCATATGGCCTGGAGTGTGAGGGCCCCATAGAAGGGGGGTGGGTGTGGGCTCTGTGGGGGTTGGTGGGCATTGGAAAGGCGAGTTTGCAGGGCAAGCCTGGGCCTTTACTCTCTCTAGAATTGGCTACCCTGGGAGGGGCAGTCCCTCTAGGGTCAGAAAGGTCCAGATGTCAGCACATCAGAACACAGACAACAGAAGGCCTGGTGAGTCCTGGCCACGCCACCCACAGCTCCAGGGGTGTCCCAAGCAGGCTGTCCAGTCTCCTGAGTGCCGGGGACAGTGCAGACCCCAGGCCCAGCCCCTCAGGTTCTGGGGTGTGCACAGGGCCAGGCTTGTGCGGGGAAGGCCCAGTTCCTGGTGTCTGCAATAGGAAGTTTCCAGCGCTTGCTCCGGTGCTTCTGTCACTGATGGGAACGAGTTTGTCTCCTCCCTTGTGGGATGCCTTGACAGAGGGCAGTCTGTCACACTCCGGCTGGTCCTCAGGTCAAGGCACCACACAGGATCTTTGGGACCCGGAGTCTCCTCTGCCCCACCCTGAGGAAGAACAGGGGTCTGATGTTGTGGGTGATGTAGGGGAACACACGCCAAGCCAGTGAGCCAGGCTCTGTGCTGTGAAGAATTAGCCAGAAGCAACCTAGAACGTGATACAGGAAAGGCATTGGGGAAAGGTTAAGGATGCTTCAGCAGCACACTTCTTGTTCCCAAAATCACCCAGCTCTCGGGGAACGTGGGGTTGCCTGGGTCAGGCATGAACCTGCCACTCACCTGGAGACAGCAGGAGCGCTGGGTCTGGAGCCACACAGCAGGGAAGGCAGGGCTGGGCTGGCATCCCTAAACCAACAGGGGGGTTTGGCCCCTTCCAACTCTCTCAGTAACACTGTTTCAGGAGGACTCTCCACCCAGCCCACCCTGGCCTTCATGTTTTTTGTTTGTTTGTTTGTTTGTTTTTGAGACAGAGTTTTGCTCTGTTGCCCAGGCTGGAGTGCAGTGGCATGATCTTGGCTCACTGCAACCTCTGCCTCCTGGGTTCAACCAATTATCTGCCTCAGCTTCCCGAGTAGCTGGGATTACAGGCGCCCACCACCATGCCTGGCTAATTTTTTGTATTTTTAGTAGAGACAGGGTTTCACCATCTTGGCCAGGTTAATCTTGAACTCCTGACCTCATGATCCATCCGTCTTGGCCTCCCAAAGTGCTTGGATTACAGGCTTGAGCCACTGGGCCCAGCCTGCCTTTATGTTTTTAAAAGGAGTTTCTTTCAAGGTTAGGTAAAATAAGGGAGGCTCAATTAGACTTAAATGTTTAACATCTTGCATTCCTGTCCTTGGTACATGGTGGGGTGAGGCCTCATGAGTGTTGGGGACACCGCTAGCTTGTCTGTCCTTTCCGCATTGTTCATGGGGAAACTGGAGAGTGGGGGCTTTTTTTTCACAAATACGGAAATCGAGGCACAGAGGGGTTGAGTTATGAGTATGGGATCAAGATGTTCCAGGCTAAGCCCTCATCTCTGCCTGGTTTCCCCTTAGGCCTGTCCCTGTGAAGCCATCCCCTGGGCAACCCACTTTGCTCACCAGAACCTGGGAGGTCTCCATGCCCTGCTGCAGTGTTCCCCCACCCCCGCCCCTCCCGCTCTGAGGCTGGATCCCTCAGTCCCTCAGGAACTGTGCTCTCCTCTCTATTCCCATAGCCCCATCCCACCTGGCAACCCCCTGGCAGCATCCCCTCACCTCCACGCAGCTATCAGAAAACTCCCCTCTTCTTCCCATCGCCTGGGCACTGAGGCCTGATTTGAAGGCCCCAGGCTGGTGCACACGCCGCCCCAGGCTGGTACAGATGCCTCCCCAGCCTCATCCCACCACCAGCCGCAGAAAGGGCCTCTTTCTTTGCTAGGGACTCAGATCTGTGCCACCTGCCCAGGGGTCTGCAGGAAATCTGCCCGTGGGATTCTGGATCGCCCTGCCCGTGGGTGTCACCCTGGCTAGTTGCCTTGTGCAGTTTCCCCACTAACCTGCAGCTGCTGAAAGGGACTCACATGGCCTCTGCCCCGAGGTGTGGGTCACAAGGACTCAGGACCCAGTCTGTAAATGAACACGAGTAAGCCAACCCCAGATTGTCGAATAAGGTGAAAAACGCAAATCCAAGACGAAAGCATTTTTTCACAGATAGGTTTGAGCAGGGTTCATTATTGGAGGTCTGGCCCCGGGTGTAGGGGAATGTGGCTCCATCTGGAGACCAACGGCTGCCTCAGGATGCAAACTTCTTGTGCCTTCTCTGTAGAAGGCATTTGACAGACCAAGCGCGAGGAGGCCACTCAGCGACCAAGGGAAAGGGGCAGGAGCACCCAGAGGCCAGGCTGCAGAGGGGCCGCAGCCAGCAGTCAGCAGGGCCCCTGGCTGCGCCCCTGGGATACTCCTTTTTCTTTTTCTTTCCTTTCCCCTTTCCCCATGCTTTAGCTTAAGCAGCCTGGTGTGCTAAAATTATAACACAGGAGGCTGTAGGGAAGGCTGAAGCTCAGTGATAGATTGTCATTTAACCCTGTAAACTAAAAATAAAATCCTATGCCCCCACCAACTGAACAAACCCCCTCATGGCCAAGGGGACCCCAGAAAAACCTTAAAAACCAGTTCCCAGCTGTGATGGGATGGGAGGTCAGACACACCTGGTTCAACTTCCTTCCTTTTGTAGTTTACACACAACTGAGCAGCATTAATCTTAAAACAGAGATCAGAAGACTGACAGAATAGACTCCGTGGCAATAAGATACCAAATTGTAAATAGGACCTGGCAAGTGTACACACCATACACTTAAAGAATAAACTATATTCTGGCCGGGTGCAGTGGCTCACGCCTGTAATCCCAGCACTTTGGGAGGCCGAGGCGGGTGGATCACCTGAGGTTGGGAGTTTGACACAGCCTGACCTACATGGAGAAAACCCGTCTCTACTAAAAATACAAAATTAGCCGGGTATGGTGGTGCATGCCCGTAATCTCAGCTACTTGGGAGGCTGAGGCAGGAGAATAGCTTGAACACAGGAGGCAGAGGTTGCGGTGAGCCAATATCGCGCCATTCATGCCAGCCTGGGCAACAAGAACGAAACTCCGTCTCAAAAAAAAAAAAAAAAAAAAGAATAAACTATATTCTGATAGCCACAAGGTATTTTCTTTTTCTTTAGCAGCTAAACAGGCAATAAGCAATATTAAAACAACTGTAGCTCCACCAGATGCTGACTGACCCCCCCACCGCCCACCCCCCACCCCACCCCCATTCCAGCAGTCATAACTGCAGCCTTGATTGGACAAAAGACTGATTCAGTAACTTTCTTTCAATAAGATCACTGACTATGTATGGACTAGCTCTGGCCAGTTTGCAGAGGCTGCCCACTTGCGTGCATTTGTGTCCTGAAAAGACCTTTTAGCATATAGAGCCTGACTGTAATACATTTAAATGTTAAGGCTCCACCCCAAGGTGAACATGAGTTGCATGTTACACGTACCTTCCCCTCCCCTCCCCTCCCCTTCCCTCCCCTCCTTTCCCCTCCCCTCCTCTCCCCTCCCCTGCCCTCCCCTTTCCTTCCCTTGAGACAGAATCTCACCCTTCCTTTCCTTGAGATGGAATCTCATTATATTGCCCAGGCTCATCTCAAACTCCTGGCCTCAAGTGATCCTCCTGCCTTGGCTTCCCAAAATGTCAGGATTACAGCTGCAGGCCACCATGCCCAGCACCAGCTGATTTTTTTGTGTTCATTTTGTATCCTGTAACCTTACTGAATTGGTCCATTAGTCCTACCAGTTTTTAATGGAATCTTCAGGATTTTCTACTATAAAATCATGTCATCTGTGAACAGAACTAATTGTACTTCTTCCTTTGCAATTTGGATGACTTTTCTTCCTTTTCCTTTCCTAATTGCTCTGGCCAGGACTTCCCATACTATATTGAATAGAAGTGGTGAGAGTGGGCATCTTTGTCTTATTTCTAATCTTAGAGGAAAAGCTTTTAGTTTTTCACCATTGAATATGATGTTAGCTGTGGGCTTCTCATACACGGGCTTTATTATATTGAGGTAGTTGCGTTCTGTTCCTGGTTTGTTGAGTGTTTTTATCATGAGAGCATGTTGAATCCTTTCAAATGCTTTTTCTGCATCAGTTGAGATGACCATGTGGCTTTTGTCCTTCATTCTCTTAATGTGGTGTATTACATTCATTGATTTTTGTTATGTTGAACCAGAGTTGCATTCCAGGAATAAACTTGGTCATGGTAATTAATCCTTTCAATGTACTGTTGAATTTCATTTCTTAGTATTTTGTTGAGGACTTTTGCATCAATATTCATCAGGGATATTGGCCCGTAGTTTTATTTTCCTGTATTGTCTTTGTATGGCTTTGGTATCAGGATAATGCTGGCCTTACTGAATGAGCTTGGAAGTATGCCTTCCTCTTCAATTTTTTTGGAAGAATTTCAGGAGGATTGGTTTTATTTCTTTTGAAATGTTTATAGAATCCATCAGTGAAGCCATCTGGTCCTGGACGTTTGTTTGGAGGTTCTTTATTACTAATCCAATCTGCATACTCATGATCGCTCTTTCAGATTTTCTATTTCTTCATGATTCAGTCTTCCTAGGTTGTGTGTTTCTAGGAATTTACCCATTACTGTTCACAGTATTCTCTTACAGTCTTTTTATTTCTGTGGCATCTCTTGTAATGTCCCCTCTTTCATTTTAGTTTAGTCTTCTCTCTCTTTTATTTTGAGGCAGTCTATTTAAAAATCACAACATTTAGAAAAAAATCTATACATTTAGACAGTAGAATAGATTTTTTTTTTTTTTTTGAGATGGAGTCTCACTCACTCTGCTGCCGAGGGTAGAGTATAGTGGTGCGATCTCAGCTAACTGCAACCTCCACCTCCTGGGTTCAAGCAATTCTCCTGCCCCAGCCTCCTGAGTAGCTGAGATTACAGGTGTGTGCCACCACACCCAGCTAATTTTTGTATTTTTAGTAGAGATGAAGTTTCACCATTTCGGCCAGGGTTATCTCAAATTCCTGGCCTCAGGCGATCCACCTGCCTCAGCCTCCCAAGTGCTGGGATTACAGGTGTGAGCCACCATTCCCAGCCTTCTTTTTCTTAGTTAACCTAGCTAAATGTTTGTCAATTTTTTTGCTCTTTTCAAAAAACCAACTTTTCATGTTGTTGGTTTTCCTATTGTCTTTCTATTCTCTATTGCAGATACCTGTATGTATATAGATATCTCTTTATGTCTGATCTTTATTACTTCCTTCCTCCTGCTATCTTCAGTTTCAGTTTACTCTTCTTTTTTGAGTTTCTTGATGTGTAGAGTTAGGTTGTTGATTCAAGGTTTTTCTTTTTTAAAAAATGTACATATTTATAACTGTAAAATTTCCTCTTAGCACTGCTTTTACTGCATTCCATAGGTATGTTATTATTTCATTTTTTTCTTTTATCCATTGGTTGTTTATGAATGTGTTGTTTAGGCCAGGTGCAGTGGCTCACTCCTGTAATTCCAGCACTTTGGGAGGCTGAGGCGGGTGGAGGGCCTGAGGTCAGGAGTTTGAGACCAGCCTGGCCAACATGGTGAAACCCTGTCTCTACTAAAAATACAAAAATTAGCCAGGCGTGGT